GTGTATATATGTATATGTAATTTTTTATTTTATTTTTAAAAAATAAATTTTAAAATTCTGTAATTTTTTAAAAGTTTTTTTAAAAAATTGTGTATATATGTAAAAATGTGTATATATGTAAATGTATAAGTGTGTATATATATATATGTATATAATTATGTATGTAGATGTATATGTGTGTATATGTATATGTATATAATTGTGTATAGATATAAAAGTGTATATATATGTATATGTAATTTTCTATTTTATTTTTAAAAAATAAAATTTGAAATTCTGTATTTTTATTTTATTTTATTAGTTTTTAAAAAAATTCTAGAAATTTTTTATTTGTATTTTATTTTTTATTTATTTTGTGACGTGGCTGGATGATGTGGCGAAATGTTCTGATTTGGCAAAATTTGTATGACGTGGCATGCCACGTCAGTATTAAAATTGACGGAACATAACGTCGTTTACGGATGTATTTTATTTTTTATTTATTTTGTGACGTGGCTGGATGATGTGGCGAAATGTTCTGATTTGGCAAAATTTGTATGACGTGGCATGCCACGTCAGTATTAAAATTGACGGAACATAACGTCGTTTACGGATATGGAGGAAATTGCAACACATTTTAAGATTTTGTGTAGGAATTTAGAAATATTTGAAATCCGGTGTAGTTTTTTGTCAAATTAAAAATTGGTATAGGAAATTGGAACTTTTTCGAAAATTTGTGAGGGAATATGGGATTATCCCTTAGAAAAACCAAATTTTAAAAAAACTTGAATGTCGGTTTTTTCAGTTTTTAAAATCCAAAAACTCCGAAAACCACATTCCATTCAACACCAATATCTCTCTCGGTACAAAACCATTAACATATTAACAAACCGACTTCTTATATGATTCTTGTAGAAATTTAACGTGGAGTTTTGCGAAGAAAACACACCATGGAAGGAGGTGACAACACCACAATGTGTTTTCCGATTTCATCAAACATGATATATATATATATACACACCATTGTCAAAGCAAGCAAGCAACAAGAACTTAGCGAAGAAAGCAGCTCTCGCGCTTCCTGTTTCATTATTAGAAACAATCAGAGATTCATCAAGCTGTATGAATTGTAATATTTAAGGCATGAATCTCCCCTAAAAAAAGTACGTACAATATCAGTCGTTGAAAATAAGTTGACACGAAGATGAACCCCTGGCCATGGAAGCCAATTCCTTCAGAATCCGATGTTTCCCCTCTAAATTGTTTTCCGCCGGGCAAATAGAGGCCATCTTCAGACATATAGCATTTGCCAGGATGTACGCCGCCAGTTTTGTCTCTGTCTCCCATCCTCTATAATGTTTCCACTGAAAAGTTTCAAGGTTCGACAATAAACATCGAGGGAGATAATCAGGTAGTTGCTCCCACCAATCCTCTGGATAATGAACCTCTGCATAAAAACATTCCCGCAACCTGCCCTTTGGCTCGTCCTGCGATCAAGATGATGATAGGTAACGTAAAATACAGTTGTATCAGGTAATCCTCAAACAAGAAACTGATTGACAGATAAACATCATACACTGTTGAGTTCCAGAACTCGCAGGTTTGGAGAACCTTCGAGCATATATACAAGTACATCACACCAGTCTTTCTCACGTGTGTATAGCTCGAGATGAACAAGCTTATGGAAGACAACGCCGGCAGGACACATCTCAATCTGCTTATAATGGAAGATTGAGAAGATGAACACCGTAACAAGAAATCATCCCAGAACAAGTTCTAATTTGCTTTGAATCTCAAATCTCCATTTATAAACAGAAGACAAGTTACCTCTATAGCTAAGGTAAGATATTCATATTCTCAAATCTACTTGACGAGTAAAGCTCGAATGAAAGCAAAGATACAGACTTTCAAGGATTGGAGCCCTATTCAATAGCAAAGACCGGTAAACAAACTCCGTGAAAATTTCGTGTTCAGTCTTGTGGCCCACACAATTATACTCAAGTTTCGGCACCATCGTCCACAGAGACTGCCATCGTTTAGACAAAATCATAGTTCTAACGACATCTTTCATCGGAACCAGCGAAAGAATCCGCAACAGCAATTCATCAGGCAACACACTGATCCTATCCATATTATAACAATCCGTCCTGTTCCTCGGGTTTTCGGCCGCCGATTTAGCTGTAAAAACAAGAAACCCAAATACAAAGATGAGACCTTTGTTGGAGCTAGCATAAGAAACCCTAAAACTGACCACATGGGTGATGAAGAAACCATGAGGAAGAGAAAGAAGGTTACACAGGTTCGCGATGCCCTCTCTGTAGACAATCTCGCGTGATCTTGTCTTGCGATTTGGTAGAAGGATAGGGTTTGCACCCTTTGTAGCGAGAAGGGATGAGGAAACCAGGTGTAAGCAAATGGCGGAGTCCCCTAGTCCCAAACCGATAATTAATCAATTCCTCGTCTCGTTCTTGGTTTACTTTAACCGGATTAAACCATATATTCTCTGTTTGGTCAATACGGTCAAAACAACTTCTGTGTCACGCACACATCGCTCAACCCCAATCCCAACCCATATCCCCAAGGCATTTTTTCTCAAATACACCACCTGCGTCGCATTAATTTCTGTGGTACACCACCGAAAATGTCTTGAAATTTTTTTACAAATAGTACACCACTTTTTAAGCAAAAAGTCTAAAATATCCTTATATACCAAATCTCCAAAATACCCTTATTTCTATTTGATTAATAGAAAACGTATAAAAAATTAAATAGATTTAATGTGATTCTCTCTCCTCCCAATACCACCGTGGCTCAAGTTTCTACCATTATTCTGTTGGTTTCTTTCTTTTTTTTTTATCATAATTTATTATTTTGTTCATTCCAAATTTTATTATTTTCATAAAAAATTAAAAGAAATTTTTGGTGATACCCAAGATCGCGGTCAGACTTGTTCTTCCGAGTGAACTCGCCAATCACGTTGTCTTCGAAGATATCGTTGTGTTTATAAAAACACATTATCTTAATTGTGTTTAAATATTGGAAATTATTTTTTTGTATGTTTAAATATTTGTGCATATTTAACAAAAAAATATTTGTGTATATATATAATCTGATCAATAAATATGTTACGTTGTTTATAAAAAATTATATTGCTTTGCATGACAAATATAATTGAAATGAAATGTATAAGACGAAAAAAAATATGATAAAAAGTAAACCGAAATATATATATATATATATATATATATATATATATATATATATTTATTTCATCAGTTAAATATACAAGTATTGAAAGTCACACACAAAAAAGAAGAAAACGGGAAAAGAAACCAAGGTACAGTTAGGAGATTAAATGTAAAATAGTGTATGTATATTTTATATGATAACTGTAACAACTTTTTGTGAACTACTGAATCGTGATTGCGTTGCGACCTTTTGAAATGTATGTTGAAAACAAAATCTGAAAAGTTTATTTATAAAAAAAATATTCTTACTAGTTTATTTATAAAAAAGTATTATCTGAAAAAGTATTCATTTTGTCTCATGACCCACAATTAGAAATTTATTCTGAAAAACCAAAATCGGACACATATTGAAAAAGTAAGATTTTATCTTATTATAGACCAAAATTAATATTTTGTAACTTAAATACGAATGCATTACGATTTTCGAAAATCATTGATAATGTCCCATAAATCGTTAAATGAAATGAGTTTTTATTGAAAATTCATATATATTGACTTAATATTGTCCACTTAAGTGGAAAAATTGAGTTTAAAATCAAAATTACAAAACTTTTATATAAAATCATCAACTTTGGACCAAATCACTTCATAACCTTTCTTAAACATATAGGAGTCTTTTCTAACTTACATGATAAAAAATTTCAAAATTTTTATTTTCTTAATTTGTACCTTTAAATCATTTTGTAACACATATTTGGTATGTTTTCGTCATTAATCGACCAAAACTTTATCAAAATTTACGAGTATTTATATAAATACGACTAATGTAAATCGTATTTAAGTTATAATTTATAATGTTTTCGCAATAGATTTTTTTACCATGAATCCACCTGTAAGGTGATTACTTTGACTTTTCTTTCATCAATTACGACTTATTTTTTAATATTATGACTTATTTTTTAATATTACGACTTACTTTTTAATATTGAAAAATACCAATTATTCTATTATGACGTACTTATTGCAACATGTTTTTTCCATTAAATACGACTTCAAAGTTTACAAAGTATCAAATTGATTCAAATAGAAAAAACAATATGAATTCAACTTTTATGAATACAAGTTTAAGGTTTACAAAGTAACCAAATTTAAGGTTTACAAATAGAAAAAAACAACAAATTGAATTTAAATGTTTACAAATAGAAATACCACAATATGAATTCAACTTTTATGAATAAAAACCGAGTTCAAGATTTTTTTTCCACGATCTCTACTTCATTTTCCTCGGTTTCTAATGCTTCCACCCTTCGAATTGATAGACATCAAAGTATCATCTAATGGAATCAAGAAATTCGACTGCTTATGCGTGAAAATATTTTGATTACACCTTCACCGAAATCTTGTTCAGATCATTGAATTCATAATAGATTTCATCTTTGGGTACATCACCAATCTGTAATAAAACAAATGGATTCATCAAATATATAACAGAATTCGTAACTCATTTCACTACGATTACTTATTTGCTACTTCGTATCGGACATTTTACAAATTTTAAGTTATAATCTTATATTAAGTCACATCAAAATTTTGCACGGAAATTTACTTCAATGAGATTTTTTAGTTATAATCTTCAAAATTTTGAACGAAAATTTTATACAATTTCAAACTAAAACCCAAATCTATCGTTCTGCAACCTAAATTTTTTAAATTAAAACCTAAATCTAATTTCTATACAAATTCAATTTAAAACTCAAACTCAAACCCACAATTCTTACATTTTTTCAGGAGAAGAATATGATTCTTTTGATTCTTACATCGATCGGGACGCTCGACGAAGCAACCTCCATTTTCTTCGTTTCAATCTCGATTTCAGTTGTTCTTCGTCGATTTGGTTCAACATCGCAATTCATTTCGTTTGATTTCGTACTTTTATGTTTTCACTCCGCTTTTTTTCATCTGTAAAAATTGTAAAAAAATAAATTTCAGTTTTTTTTTATATATTTTTTTTATCCCCTCCGAAAATCACTCAGGACACGGTGCCCACATACGTACACATGTTTTCTACCCACCCTTTTTCATTGGGGGTATTTGGTCTTTTCCAGTTTTTTTAAGGGTAAACATGACTTTTGTTAATTGTTTCTATTTTTTAGGTGTACCGATGAAATAGAAGTATTTGAGTAAAAAGGCCTATTCCCAAATCTTCGGGATTAAACCGCACATCAAATTGAACACGCAGACTTTCAAGTATTGGAGCCTTGTGCAATTCCAAAGACATGTAAACAAACTCCGTTCCGCGACCAGTATCGCCCTCTCAAAGAATCATAATCAAGTGTCGGCACCATTGGCCAAAGGGGCTGCCATGGTTTAGACAAAACCGTAATAGCAACTACATCTTTTGTCGGAAGGAACGATAGAATCCGCAACAGCAAGTCATCAGACAACGCACTTATCATATCCATACATAACAATTCGTTCGGTTTCTCAAGGTTTCAGACACTGATTTTCCTGTCAAAACCAGAAACCCAAATTGAAAGACGTCGCCTTTATTGGAGCTTGCAGGTAAGAAACCCTAAAACTAACCTTAAAACCATGTAGAAGCCATGCTAGAGAGAAGCAGAAACTTACACCGGTTCTCTCCGTCATGTGAAATTGGAAGCGAGAAGAGAAGAAGAAAAGGAGTGCCTATTCAATCTCCATTAAAAAACGGAAAACCCAGAAAAGAAACCAAGAAACAGACTGTTCTTCTCGTACCAAGTATCGAGATTCAACAACAGGACATCATCAGTGTCACAGTAAAAAATGGACAAATCCAGTTCAAAAAAAAATAATCTCGGATTTACCAAAATGGACAAACGTTAAAGGGGCTCGGCATCCGCATCAACTCTCCTCTGTAATTTCTCGAGCTCCGCCATTGTCTCTCGTATCTTCTTCGATTACCTCAGGTGAGAATTGTTCTGTCCACACGAGCAGGGGTATTTTCCTCTGATTTTTGGATTGAGCTTCTGATTTTCGCTCGTTACCTTTCTTCGATCGAGCTTTGGAGATTTACACAATTGGCTTGGCTTTGGTGTCGCACAAATATATATACACCAAAAAATTAGAACAATTACACAATGTCCACGTTGCCCTCGGAAATTCACAAGAAATGGTTTGGCTTTAATATTATATTTTTATTATTTATTTTTAATTAAAATAACTAAATAATATATAGACTAGAAACAAATTAAATTAAATATAAATCACTAGGCATTTATGTAATAGATACATAAATGAGAGAGAAAAATTAATAATATGAAGTCGTAATGATTTAGAGAGTTTAGACTTTTGGATTTAATATTTAGTGTTTATAAATTTATTTTGTATTGATTTGGTAGACATTTAACTCAACGTTGGTCACCCGACCAAGCCAAGTCTCAAACCGAAATCACAAAATAAAAAATCACTATCGAACCAACTAAGCTGAAAACAAGAAATATACACCAAGAGAGTTCTTCGATCTTACCGTTTACGGTTACAAACCCAAATGGGTCTAAAACCCATTTACCTCATTACATATTTAACTATATATATATATATATTCGTATATATATACACACTTTAATGAATGAAATGGGAAATCCCATCGTATATAAAATAGTTACTGCAGCAACACGTGTCCTTAATCACATCTCCCCCCCCCCCCA